TCCCAAGCTCTTGCCTTAGTGTATTGAATCTTTCTTCATTCAATGGCTTGGTGAAGATGTCAGCTAGCTGCTTTTCGGTGGGAATGTATTCTAACTTGATGGTCTTCTTTTCGACATGTTCTATGATGAAGTGGTGCCTTATTTCAATATGCTTGGTTCTTGAGTGAAACACTGGTTTATAAGTAATTGCAATAGCACTTGTGTTATCACACAGAATGTTAATTTCCTTTGTTTCTTCACCATAATCCTTCAGTTGCTATTTCATCCAGAGTATTTGAGCACAGCAGCTACCTGCAGCTATGTATTCCGCTTCTGCAGTGCTAGTAGCAATTGAGTTTTGTTTCTTACTGAACTAAGAGACAAATCTTCCTCCAATTAGTTGACAAGTACCAGAGGTGCTTTTTCTGTCAATCTTGCATCCAACAAAATCTGAGTCTGAATAGCCATAGAGATCAAAACCTCCATTTGTTGGGTACCATAATCTAGAGTTAGGATTACCTGTGAGATACCTCAATATCTTCTTTGCTGCTAGGAGATGGCTTTCTTTGGGCTTTGATTGGAATCTTGCACATACTCCTACTGAGTAGGATATGTCAGGTCTGCTAGTAATGAGGTATAGTAGAGAGATCCAATCAATCCTCTATAGAGTGTGGGATTAATATCTTTGCCATCTTCATCCTGACTTAGACCTTGTGATGTGTTCATGGAAATTTTTACGGTAGACTTGTTTTCAACCTTAAACTTCTTCATGAGATCTCTTGTATATTTTCCTTGGTTGATGAAGGTTCCTTGTGGAGTTTGCTTTGCATGAGAGTTGAAAATTTCTCACATAATGCTTGATTTGAGCTACCAAAGATTATGTCATCAACATAAATTTGGACAAGCAGTATGTGGGGACCTTCTTCGATTTTGAATAGTGTCTTGTCTACTTTGCCTTTAGTGAACCCATTACTCACTAAATATTCAGAGAGTGTCATACCATGCTCTTGGGGCTTGCTTGAGTCCATAGAGAGCTTTCTTCAGTTTGTATATGACGTGCACTTTGTCGTAATGTGCACTCAAAATAAATACAATTCAACAAATATACGTAGTATAAAACTTACTACCGAGTTAATATAGAACACGCGCCGTATATCAACCCGATAGTAGCAATAAAATCAAGATGAAAACGATTGAGATTGATAACCTTAACACAAGCAGTTTATTGGTTTAATCAACATAATTAATTCCCCTTAGATTATTAACCATTAAACGCATGCATTAATATTCCAAGTTTACTACCGTGAATGAACCGAATTAATAATAAATGTATTAATTGATCGATTCTAGTAATAATTAATATATGAAACAAAACTAGTTGATCCTTTAAGTAATGTTCACAATATTAATATGAAATATGAATAGGAATTAGTTAATACTCAAGGAAGAATATTAAAGAATATGAATCCTACTATAGTTAATATCAAGATGTTAACTAATTGTCATCTTAGTAACACTCCCCAATATGAACATAGAGGAAGAAATAACTATTACTATAACTAATGTCCAGATGTCAACTAATTGTCATCTTAGTAACACTCCCCAACATTGATATAGAAATAGTATTTAAAGGAAGAAGTAATATTCAAGTAAGAAAATTAAAGAGAATAACTCACAACTTACAAATTCATTAAGCTTCAAAGTAGCAAAACCAAGATGGAAGAGTTTAGCTCCTCATTTGGAGACTAAACATGAAGAAAATATAAAGAAAGAGTTTGTCTAAACTCAGCTAAGAAGTATATGTGAATTGGTCGTTTTTTGTGGGAAGGAAAGAGATGTATTTATAGGGAAATGGAGTATGCAGGGGTGTGTACCCAAACGGGTATAGAAGGCTCCCGATTGGGTACACTCAGAAGTTTCCAGGAAGCTAAAAACGTCATGCATACCCGACCGGGTGTGTCGGCTACCCGATCGGGTATGACACTTGAACATGGCCAAAATCTTCCCCGCATGTTGCTTTGTTCCCGGATTGATCCGATTTGATTTTTCAGCAAGGTATCCGATCGGGTATAGGTCATACCCGACCGGGTACAGCACAAAACTTCAAGATCTTTATTTTTGTCTTGAGATTTTTCACCTTCCTTCCACTTTTGATGTTCACCAATGGTCCCTAAAGTGATCTTGGACCTGTTTGAGCTCAGAATAAACCTAATCTAAACAAATTACAAATATTTTACAAACTAAACTATTACACCAAAAGTGTGTAATTTCCAAAGTAACAATCAATGAAAACTAGTTAAAAACACAAACATAAACATGGAAATTACACGATTATCAACTCCCCCACACTTAGTTTCTTTACTCGTCCTCGAGTAAAGTCAAATGTTCACAAGTGTCAAGTCTTCCAAAGTTTCAACAATTTAACAAGAAAAAACACAAAGACCACCAAGGATAAAACATGAGTTTTAAGCTCAAATTACAAATATCATCTTGGGTTTTATGGTCTTCTAGTGCTCATCTTCTCTTCTCCTCCTTTCTTGTTCTTCTTTTTCTTCAAGAGATTATGTCTTGCAACAACAAATATGTCTCTCACATCTCTCATCTTGCCTAGGAGCCTTTTCAGGTTTTCATCCTAGCATCTCTTTTATTTTTCCTTCCTTACCACTCACTCATCATCATTTTTTTTATAAGCCCTTGTTGCTTAGATTGCCCGTTTTTGGGTTTTCAACCTAACTAGCATTCATTTGTTTATTTTTGTGTGTACAAAGAGTACAAGAAAATAATGCTTAGTATAAGGTAAAAACAAAAGGGATTGTAACATACCAAAGGATGAGTCTTTTCCTCCCCCACACTTGGATCAAGGCACCATCCCTAGTGCCCACCTTCACCTCCATAAAAGCCATCTCGAAAGCCTCCGCCGGTGACGCCTTCGCCGCCTTCTTCACCCATAGTGGTGTCGCCTCCCATCCCGCCATCATAGCTCCCACCACCGGAGCTTGAACATCCAAAATTACCCCATTGAGAGGGGTCATTCCAAGATGATGGTGGTGGAGGAGCGGCCATAGAACTGAAATTCCCATGATGGACAATATATGAGTACATAGGACCATAAGTCCTATGGTAGTCCTCTTCATACCGATGTAGGTCGGCTTGCCGTAGCTCCTCCATTCTTTGGAATCCCGCCCGTTGCTCCTCTCGAACTTGTGTGAGTTGCTCACCCATGTTTGTGTAGTTGAGGTTCATTGTGTTGAACCCGGCAAGTAGGGCTTGTTGGCCCTCCAATATTTGTTGAAAGTAATCGGTTGTTGGAGGGTTGTGAGGAGGATTAGGGATGTCACGTGGAGCATCTTCTTGGGCTTCTTGATGCTCGGGTTGGTCAATTTGGTCCGGTTGGGCTTGAAGGTGTGGTGGAATGGCATTAGGAAATAGGTAACGTGTGATTTCAAAACTTGCCATTTTATACCTAAGTTTAGGTATTTCCTTGGAGGGGATGGGGAAGTAGATGGTGGGTTTGGGTAGTATATGCCACTTGTAGTGGTATCTCCCGTTGTGATCGTTATGGGCAAAACATATGCATCCCGCATTTGCAAGCCATCCTATATGCATCAAACTGTGATCGGCTATTGGTGCATTATCCACATAGCCGAATTTGGATGCCAAGTGCATAATGACTCCCCCCCCTCCGACAACAATATTTCTCGTTTTCTTGCAAGCATTGTCTAAATGGTCCCACATTAAGTTGTAGAGTTTAAATTGTACGGGCAGTTGAAAGAGGGCTAGGGCGAGGATGGCCACGTCACCCATCCGAGTGTGGTGGTTGTTGGGGCGACCGAGCAAACAATTGGCCAAAAACGTTAGGAAAATTCGGAGAATTGGATGTTGAACGTGACTAATGGATAGTTTATACGCGCTCACATTCAATCTCCAGTCATTTTAGCCCATAAAGTATGGCCATCAGTGGTGTTCTCGGGTATTTTTCTCTCATGGGGCCCGGGGATGCCAAAATGTTCGGCAAACTCACTTCTCGTTATAGAGTATTCAATGTTGAATAACCGAAACGTGAGTGTGTCGTTATTGAAGTCCTCCTCATCCTCACGTTCCTCAAACTTGGACGAACTCAAGAATTCATATATCACTCTCTCATTACAATTATATTTCATGTCAAAAATCAAATCCATTTTGATGCACACTAATTAGTAGTGCATAATTATTTGTTTTTATGTTTGATTTATGTTGATTGTTTGACGTTTTGTTTAGTATGTAAACATTTATGTGATTGCAGTTGTAATTGTATTTTAGTCTTTATTTATAAGTTGTAAAGTATAGTTAGGATTTGTGGTGTTGGAAAGGAAGACTTTGAAGTGAAGAAAAAGAAGATTTGGCTGCCCAGGAGCAAATACGCGACCGGGTATAACACTTGACCCGGTCGGGTAAGAAGTGAAAAACGAAAATGCAAAGAAAGTGCATGGCCTGGTCGGGCCCACTACCTCACCCGGTCGGGTGAGAAGTGACCGGAGACAATCCAGCGTGCGAAGATCACCAGAACGTGGCGGAATATCTGATTTTGACCGGACCCGGTCGTGTAAGTACTTGACCCGGTCGGGTACCCGGCCAAAGGTGTTGAAAAACACCTATAAATAGCACACTTTTTCTTCTCTAAAAATCATCCCTTCTTCCATACTCTTAAGCTCAGTTTAGAATAGCATTTCTTTCTATTTTTCTAGCTATGTTTAGTCTCCAAATGAGGAGCTAAACTTCCATTCTTGGTGTTGCTCTTGAAGCTTGTTGATCATTAAAGTTGTGAGTTATTTTCTTAACTTCTTCCCTTGAATATTAATTATTAGTTCTTTACTTAATACTATCTCTATATTAATGTTGGGGAGTGTTGCTAAGATGACAATTAGTTATCATCTTTTTTTTGGATAAAATGTAAATATATATATCCAAAGAGTTTATGTACATCTGTACAGTAGCAAAAACATCAAAAGGGGCATCCCAAGTAAGGATACCCAATCACCTCCAAAAAAGACATCTTAACTAGCTAATTATGTAAGCTAGCCATCACAAAAGATTGGTGATAAACCGCAAAAAATTAGAATGTTATCCTATCAATTGGATACATAGCATAAATTACTTTATAGACCATCATAAATTACTTCATAAATTACTCTATAGATTGGTGATAAACCGCAAAAAAAAAGACATCTTAAATTACTTGATTTGTTTAACCATTCCTTCCACCGTGGTCTTGGTCTTCTCAAAACATATCATATTCCTCATCCTCCACGTCCAATATATAGTGTAGCAAAAGGATAGTCTCACGGCCTTGGCTTTAGCATGTGATCCATTATGCTCTTTCTTGATCCATTTGATTGCACTCAAAAGCGTTGACATCCGTTTTGAAAGTCCAAGCCAATTTCGCACCAACTCCCAAACCTGTCCTGTAAATGAGCATTCAAAATATAGGTGTGACACCGTTTCCGGGCCACCCTTACAAAAAGGACAAGTATTAATCACATCCAAAAATCCCAATCTATCATATGTGGCTAACCTACCCCGAAAGGCAAGCCAAGTGATGAATGAAAATTTAGGAGGAATATAGCTCTTCCAAATAAATGACATCCAAGGGTGTATGTACCCTTAGTTCGGAGTAAGTCATACACATTAGATGAGGAAAGTTTCCCGTTTTGGGAGAACTTTCCAAGGCAGTCCACAGCTAAATCCAATGAAGGGAACTTAGATACAATCAAGTCTCCGACATTTGCAATTGCTTTCATAAGTCTAGTCTTTTTGGTGTGGAACAAAGGTCCACACCTCTCTACCTTGGAGATACACCCCATGAACCCACTTTACCCACAAGGAATCTTGTTTGGAATGAATGTTCCATAGCGTACGGGATAGTAAAGCATTATTCCATACCTTAGTATCCCTAATTCCCAAACCCCCCTCACTTTTGGGTAGGCATGCATCACACCACGCTACCTTTTCCTGTTTACCACCCCAAAGGAATAGTCTACATAAAGATGTGATCCTGTCCAGAATGGTCCTCGGCATAGGAAAGATACCAAGCCAAAAGGCTTGAACACCTTGCATAACCGAAGTGATCAACTCCACTTTCCCAGCATAGGAAAGGGTTTTTGGGTTCCGAGCATTCAAATAATCTGTGATCTTATCAATTAAAGGAGAGAATTGAGCAACAGATATACTTAAAGGAGCTAGAGGAATACCCAAATACCTAACCGGAAACGATCCTTGTTGAAAGCCCACCCTTTCTAGAATATATGGAATTCTACTCTCCATATTACCACTAAGAAAAATATCAGTTTTGTCCAGATTAACCATGAGACCTGACACAAGTCCAAAATCAGTGAGAGCATCTACTAAGATCTTGATGGATGCATAGTTACCTTTCGAAAATAGCATCAAATCGTCTACATAAGCCAAATGTGTTATTTTAAGCTTAGAACATAAAGGATGATAACGGAAATTAGGATTAAAAGCCCTAATCTCTACCAGCCTTGAGAAGTATTCCAAGCAAATAACAAACAACAAAGGGGACATAGGACCCCCCTCTCTTAGCCCATTCTTACCCAAAAACCAGCCACGGAGTGACCCATTTATAGAAATAGAAAAAGGTGAGGTTGAGACACACTCCATAATCCACCTAACAAATAAGGCAGGAATCCCAATATCTAGTAACACTCTTTCAAGAAAATCCCATGATACAGTATCATATGCTTTCCTAAGATCAATTTTAATCATACATCTAGGAGAAGGCCTTTTCCTAGTGTATCCCCTCACTAACTCTTGTGCCAAGAAGATGTTGTCAGACATCAATCTTCCATCAACAAAAGCTCCCTGTGAAAGGTTAATAACATCAGAAAGACAAGGCCCTAGCCGTGATGCCAATATCTTAGTAATGATCTTATAAGTCACATTGGTACATGATATAGGTCTAAAATCTGATACAGTAGGGGAATGGTTTGTCTTAGGGATAAGAGACACCATAGTGTGGTTCACTTGTTTAAGTATAGTCCCTGAAACAAAAAATTCCCTTACAGCCTCACACACATCATTACCCACCAGATTCCAATTATTTTTGAAAAATGCTGATGAAAAGCCATCTGGTCCGGGGGCTTTGTCATCCCCGATGTCAAAAATAGCCTCTTTAATTTCCTTATCAGTCACCGGACTAATAAGGTCATTGGTAAGAGCATGATCAATGGTTTTACCAGCTGTGACCACCTCTGGATTATCGTCCTGTATGGGTACATGTGTACCAAAAAGTCCTTTAAAGAAAGAAATGAACTCTTGTGCTACATGTTCCAAAGATTTGGTACGACTTCCATCTTCCAATCTTAAAGAAGCAATAGAGTTTTGTGCATTCTTCTTTTTCATAATAGAATGAAAATACTTCGTACACTTGTCAGATTGTAAAATGTGATTGACCTTAGCCTTTTGCTTAACATAGGCTTCCTCGGCTTCTTTTAAGAAATTTGATTTCTTTTTTGCTTTCACCAATTCCTCTTTAAGGGCTTCATCTAAAGGAGATAAGAGGGCTAATTGATAGATTCTCTTATACTCCTTCTTTGACACCTTTGCCCTAGAGGAAATGTGACAAAATTCATCTTTGTTAAGTTGTTTTAGGGGTTGCTTAAGTAATTTCAGTTTTCGGGCAAGCCTAAACTGAGCAGTACCAACAACATCCTCAGTCCAAACATTCTCCAAAATGGTATGAAATCGTTCATGTTTTAGCCACATGTTAAAAAATTTGAATGGTTTTGACCCTAAAGAAGCAACATGGTCAAAATCACATTCCATTTCAAAGAAGTGTGCTTTACATGTTACATTTTGTTGACACCAAAAGGAATTAATGAGTACCCTATCCAATTTAGCCCAAGTAGCACCCCTATTCCAAGTAAACAGTTCACCAGTAGAAGGGGCATCACAAAGATTAGATTGGATTTTCATATCATTAACATGTTGCATTGCATAAGCCGAAGGGGGGGCAGAACCCCTCCTCTCACTTGGAGAGCCTACACAATTAAAGTCCCCCAAAAACACCCACGGTGCAAGTATATTTTGGCTTAGACCCGTTATATGCTCCCATAGTTCCCTTCTTTGTACTATCGTATACAATGCATAGACAAAAGTCACATAAAAAGTCATTTGTGTGACCTTACAAGTAAACCTAGCATGGATATGCTGTTTGTCAACTTGTATGATCACACCATCAACAAACTTAGGGTCCCATATGATAGCCATACGCCCCCCATTCATTTTATCAAAATTAGTAGCAAAGTTCCAAGAATTAAATCTAAAGTTCACAAAATTTTCAAAATTACTAGAAGACATTTTAGTTTCAAGAAGGCAAAAGATGTGCACCTTATTAGTCCTTGAAAAAGTAGCTATTGTAATTTGTTTTGAGGATTGATTAAGCCCCCTAATATTCCATGATGCTAAAAACATAAAAAAAAATTAGTTGTGTGCCGAGACCCCTCTTCTCTTGTAAGACCTCACCTTGTTTCTCTCATTTTGCCTCCATTCTCGGATTTCTTCAAAACCTTTGTACCTATCAATAAACAATTGATAAACGGTTGTCATAAAATAAGGAGAGAAAACATACTCTTCATCAATGAGTGAGACCCCTGGGAGTGACTTCAAGCAAGAAGTGGTGAAGATGAGTCCTTTTCTCGTGACATTCCACTCTGTGTCTAGGTAGTTGTCAAGCCTTATCATTTGCTCCTCAACATGCTCATCATGCATCAAGTGTATATTGACTTTCCCATCCTCTTCAAACTCGACCTTTGTAATAACATCATCCATGAATGCTTCCTTTATGTCATGCACCATTCGGCTCTCCTTTCCTTTGTACTTCCTCATGTCCTTCACCTTGCTCCCGTTACCCATTGGATGACCATCCTCATAGTATCTATTTAGGTAGTGTCTATAGAAACTCCTCATAAATACCGTTGTATAGCCATAGCCTTTCTTGTTTTTGTGTACCCCGGGCAGCCCCTCGAAACATTTTGTAGTGAACCACACCCCGGGCTCATCTTCTTGGACCATTCTCAAAGAATGATCAATACGGACCAATGGCTCATCCAATTCTTTGAAGTGCTTAACCTTATATGTAGGTTCTTCATATTCACCCGTTTGCATTTCAACTATAACTTCATCATCAAAGATGTCCATGAATCCTCGGATTTGTCTAGGTTCATTTGGTTCCTCCTCATCACCATCTTCATTTGATATGGCTGCCTCCTTTGCTCTTTCCTTGGATCTAAAAAAACTCCTTTTCCTTTCATCCATTTTTTAATCTTCTTCTCTTAAGAAAAGGGTGTGGCTCTTTTCCCTTTTCCTTGTTTGAGGCCTCGGGTACCACAGTAGCTTTGATAGATGCCTCGGCCATATTCTTCTTGTACAAATCAGCTTTCCTTTGTACGGCCTTCCCCTTAGGTGGTAATTGTGCCGCGGCATTGCCTCCCCCTTCATGTAGTGCTGCGGCCTTGCCTCCCCCTTCAAGTATTGCCGCGGCAGTAGGCTCTTTTGTAGGAAGCCTTGGTTGTCCTCCCCCTTCATCTAGTGCTCGGATCTTATTTTCTCTCTCCTTCCTTTCTATTTCGGCCAAGGTCTTACAAGTAAACGCATGATGTCCATACGTTTTACAATGAAAACAATAATTTGGAAAGGTTTCATATATCAACTTTTGGATATGAAACTTTCCATTTGGCATCTTCACCTTTAGCCGTAGAGGGGGTGGTTTAGAAGCATCTATCTCAATTAGATCCCTTGCATAGTTAGATCTTGCCTTCTCTTGGGTTATTCTATCGGTTGTCAATGGAACACAAACTCTTGATGCAATTTCACTTATTATATCCTCTTGCCAAGCTTGCAAAGGGAGATACAGAAACTTGACCTAAATTGGGACTTTTAAGAACTCGTCACACTCAAATGTGAAGTTTTCGGATAATACCTTTAGATATAGGGACTTGCCGAAGAGGGTATAAGGGCCCTCCATCAAGACCTTACTTCGTGCTTCTTCACTCTTGAACTTAAAAATCACCCACCCTTTATCATGTTGCCTCATATTGCATTGGACACCCCATTTAGCCACCATTTCTTGTATTGGTTTCCATCCAGGAAATCTGCCCGCTAAGTAGCCCACTAGACAAAATCCCCATATTTTAACTATGGAGGGTATAAGTCATGTTGAAAGATCAATGAAATCCCCCACCAGTGCTATATACTTCAATTTCATCCCTTTGGTTGGCTCTCTATTGTCTTTAAATAGGGATGTCCAAGGAGTAGCCTTCGGTGTTGCCTTAGGAATGTGTGTTTCCTTTACAACCATACCACCCTCTTTAAACGGGAGAGTGGTCTCTTCCTTTGAACCTTCCCCTTTCTCATGTACGGAGGTAGGAACAATATCCTCCTCCGCAATTCCTTTTCCCTTTTCTATGATAGCTATAGCCAGGGGTCAACAACATAATCTTCCTCCATACTAGCATCATCATTTAGTAAGTCATTTCCATCCACACTTGAATCATTAACACAATCATCAATGTTTTCGGAGATAACTCCATCCACATTTACATTCGGCATAGCATTGGCATTAGAGTCATCAACAAAATCAATAGTGTTCTCGGACACACATCCATTCACATTTGCATTTGAATCATGAACAAGGACCTCAATATTATCAACCATGACGTTTTCACAATGAGTAGAAGTTACCTCTAAGCTTGGTTCTCCTCGGTTCACATCCAAATTTCCTTGTAGAGGGTGACTCTTGGAGGAAGCACAAGATTTGTCTCCTTCCATGGGGTTAAGATCAGCATCTTGGGTTGACACTTCTTTGACGACATCTTCAATCTCCCTTGCTTGCTTAGCCTTAAGCCGAGAGGATGATTTCAAAGGAGTTTTCTTCTTTTTCTTCGTCGGCATGATGACGGAGCTAAGATATGTGAAAGGGGGAGCTAGGAGGTCGCAACCCCCTTACAAAGTCGCATAAGTGTAGTAACTCACCTTTCCAAGCTCCTCGTCCGTACAAATGGAGATGACCGTTGAAGAAGGTGAAATTTCAACTTTTCTTGATGATCAAAAAAATTGTATTTGCTTAATCCCCAGTCCACGGCGAAGCTAGAAATGCATTCAAATCAAAATTTGATCGAGAGAAACGTCGGGAATAGGCGTTGACCTTTTGTAGTGAATAGTGTTTTCCGGAACGAAGAAGACGATTTCTTGCTCAAAAACTCCCAAACCGAGCTCAAAATGTAGCGATAATACACCCCAAGGAAGTATGCAGGTAGTATAACTAAATTCTAAGCTTAAATGAAGAAGAATCCAAGAAGAAGATGATGAATAGTGCTCGGTTTGCGTAAGTTCGAACAAGAATACCGCGAGCGGTAGAGAGAAATGCTCTCAACTTGTTCTTAGTTATCATCTTGACATTAGTTAGAGTAGTATTTTCTTCCTCTATATTAATGTTGGGGAGTGTTGCTAAGATGACAATTAGTTAACATCTTGATATTAATTATAGTAGGATTCATCTCCTTTAATAATATTTTTCCTTGAATATTAATTAATTCCTATTCATATTTCATATTAATATTTTGAACATTACTTAAAGGATCAACTAGCTTTGTTTCATATATTAATTATTACTAGAAACGATCGATGAATCGATGATTAATCGTTGATGGTTTTACAAGTAAGTAACTTCGGTTTATTAATGCACGATCGTGGTTGATAAACTTAAGAGGAATTAATTTTGTTGGTTAAACCGAAACCGTTGTGTTGAGGTTATCAATCTCAATTGATTTCATCAAGGAGTTAAGAGATTAAATGCTACTATCAAGTCGGTATATGGCGGTGTTCTATGCTTGACTAATAGTAATGGTTATTAATGAACGGTCGTTGTTAATAACTACCCTCGATGAATTGGATATACTCCTCGATTGAGTATTCGAGAGGGAATAA